ACTCCTTGCCTAAACCAAATTGTTCGAATTGCACTCTGGTTCAAAAAATAGGTAAGTACCTATATGTTTGAATATCGCTCAGGTCGAAAACGGGTTATGTTCAATAATTGCACTCGATCTGATCATTACACAGGTCCTATAATTATTATTCGTTTCAGTTGACAATTACGTGTGTGTGCCAATCGATTGAATTTTACATATTTGTAATATTGAAATTAAAGATATTTATTCATATTTAAAAAAAAGTTCTTATTTTTATATTTTTTATGTTTAACTGTAGTTCTTGGGTATTATAATAAATACAACGAACTTTAGATGTTAAAAATACAAATTACCTTTCCGATAGCCGGCTGTGATATTTGATTGTAGGTTTTATGTGGGTAACGATACCGGAAAGAGTATACAATTCGAACATAATCTCGTTTTTTTGTCCCAAGTGCAATAAACGACAAAAATAAGTGAAATTCGACCTTGCCCGAAATGAGACCTACAGATACGTCGAGATGATTCGCTCGTTGATAACGTATACATCATATTAACGTAATATCATATTATATATTGTACCTACGTGCATAGTTACTATTTTATAATAATCGTACAAACTATATGGATATAACGTATATGGTTTGCACCAGGAGCCCCTGCACATACCTATAATATGTATGTGCATTTCCATAATTACATATACACGATGGACTCTGCAGACTCTGACGAGATATTGTGCCCGTATCACGAATCTACACGCGTGTTGGATGTATATTGCAGTGGCTGGTGCGTATAGGTATTTGTATATATATATAATACATATAATAATATATACTGCATTCGCTTTCCGCGTCTGGAGTACCTACATAGTTTCTGCTGTATAATATAATTCGCGCGCGTTATTACACTGCGAGCTCAGGACACGGGGAGGGATTGGTCTGTGGGCGGGAGGGAGGGGTGGTGAGGGGCTGAGGGGTAGATGTCGCACACGCGCAAAGACAATGTGATATTACGTCTCTCTCTTTATATATATGCATGCGTATATACATATAAATAGCACTAAATACTAACACACACACACACGCACACGAGTGCGTGTACACGACGATATTAACCCTATCTATTCGGTACCATCGCCCTTCTCCGAGCATCACACACACCCACCCCTTGTCGGCGGTCCGAACGGGTATAAAGGTTATAACGCTGCGGATGTACAATATATATAATATTATTATATACATAATATATGGTAGGTGCAATCGTGAGTGCGTGTTTGTGTGGAGTTTTGATAGTGTTTTACACACATCGTAACACCATATTCATATATATATATATATATATATATACATATGTAATAATATTATATGTACGTATATAATATATGTATATATATATAAATATATATTATTATTATTGTATACATGGAGCGTGTGCGTTGCGGGGACCCGGAGGCGGTGGCGGGGCCGCGACAGAGATGTGCGCGCGATAATGCCAATGCGAATTACAACGCGCTTATCTATCCGTTTCGCGTTGCCAAGTGGCGCGCGCCCGTTCACGTATATATTATTATTATTATTATTATGTTGTACAAGTATAATATAAACCTATATAATGTGTATAATGAGAGAGAGTGTGTGTGTGTGTGTGTGTGTGTGTGTGTGTGTGTGTGAGTGCACGCCCGTATAAGTAATATGCCTACCTAAGACGACGACGACGACGACTCACTCTCTCAAACTCCCACACTTCTAACTCCCACGGTTCTGCACATTCTCGCGACAAAGCGGTAATAATATAATAATAATAATAATAATAATAATATATTATATATTATTATTATTATTTCCACTGTATTCATATATGCATGCATGTATACACCCTATAATACTATATACGTTATACATGCGTGCGTGCTTCCGCGGTTACTTTACAACCACAACTTCTGCCATCGTACTCGCGCCCCACGACGTGACGGTCCTAATAATAAATCGTAAAACAAATATTTATCGTACTAATTTGTACGATAATATACGTCTTGTTCAATTTAAAATTGTCTTGCTTTATTGTTTCGACATAATAATGATATTTTATGGAGATTATTACATATTTTATGTACACTATATAGGTATAGTATAATAACATAGTTACCCACCTATACTTTCTACTGTCTTTGATTACGTCTTATATACTGCATTATGGTTCACGCATACGCTATAGTATTACACCCTTGATTATAAATACTTGTATTACAAATGGTCTTATCGATTATGCATTTAAATGGTTAACTTAACCGTTATACCAATTCAATGTGCCATGTGTTTAACCATTTCTATTGCAGTCTATATTTACTAAGATTGTGAGGTACAGTATAGCATATACTTAATAATATGGTATAGAACACTAGTAAATACCTATTCATTGGGTGCCTATATTATAATATATAGGTAGGTATATCACAACATTATGTTTGAATCCATGTATTTTTTTTTTATTTGCGTACATATAATTATGCAATACAATTATTTTCGCTTATCCCTATACTATATATTTTATATTTTTTTTAAAAACATCTCTGATTTTCGACAAATTTTCCACACCATGTCAGTCAATAACGAGGCTTTTAGTTATTCGTCAATTATAATTTTTGTTAGTCTATTAAAGTTTATATTCTAATGCTTTATGAGTGGTACAATTCGTTGCAGGACTGCACCGAGGTCCGTGACCATCTCGACGGTTTGCAACTTACGCAAGCAATTCGTGTCGTATAATAGTTAATTTAATATTTAGACATCTGTTTCAATCTTCGTTGTTCGTTGTACACTTTAATATTTATAGGTAAAACGTAAACTCTACCCACAGTAGGTCATCGTACGAAAGTCAATCGACTAAGATAGAGAAACGAGAAATAAAGAGTTCATTTCAGTTCGGACAGTTCGATGCTGGTAAACCCATAATAATTGGTCACGAGCGTTGGTATACGTTTGAAAAAAAAATATATGACTTGGCATAATAGTTTATTATTATTTATCAAAACACCGCAACGTATTACCGCAGTCTGGTTCCGTTAATTAACCGCCGCCGCCGCCCCGTCTTGATCGCAAACTTTAAGTAAACCCAATTTCGCTGTATAATATAGTAATATACCTACCTAGAAGTCATTAAAACTTCCCGAGCGGGCGCCGACGCGTCTACTTTGTGTTTCCACCACATAATATTGTACATATAATGCATTACTTCAAAGGAGATTTCTAGGAATATAATATATGGTCCCGGCGATAGTTACACAACATATTTTCGTACCTCCAATTTCTCATCAGCTCGTTCAAAGTCAAACCGTCTACTCGCCGGTATTACGCAACATTTATTGCGGTTTTGCGCGCCCACCGTTTGCGTCTCGTTTTACCTCGCTCCAAAACTTTCTCGACGATGTTGTGTTTACGTAACACCCACATAGAGCCATACGAATGATAATCGCCCCTGTCCGGGCCAGTCGAATTCATGCGACGACCTTTGATCACGATATATCGTTTAGTTCATGTTTGAGTTATGTTATAGTTATAACTGAAGCTGTACCCGTCGGGATACTTTGACCGATTCGCACGATTCGCGTTTAATATTTATATTTTATATGTTTTGATAACAATAAATCGTATAATGCACGACTGCAGAAAAAAACTGTCGCAAGCGTATATAGTACATACGTTTCGCGTGGACTTAGGCACACTCACACACACACACACACTATCGTGCTAACTCGTATAATATATTATATAAGTACAGTGCACAGTGCACGTACAGTATATGCATATATTCAATTAGACGGTATTTATTGGTCCACCGCAAAAAGGGTGGGTGCGGCCGAGTAAATCCTGCTGCAGCGGCGGGTGAGGTGGCGCGCGGCAGCACAAAGCCCAGGAACCGTGTACACTGTGTATATATTTATATAAAATTGCTTGCGCCCCCTGATTCTCGCGAGCCTAAGACCTCCGGATTAACCGTCTTATATATATATTATATATGTGCACCATGTACCGCCGCAACGTTATTCCACCCCGCCAGTACAGTCGACGATCCCCTCGCGTGCGCGCCGGGCCGCCTCCGCCGCCGCCGGAGAGAGTATTGTTTAAAAATCTATTACAGAACGCTAATGCCATTAAGCTACTTTAATATGTTACATAAGCTCTCGGAGGGCTCCTTCTTTTTTTTAATTGTTTCCATTATAGGACATAAAATATTAACCTTTTCGGTTTCGCCGCGCGACAGAGACCTGCTGCAGCACGATATATTATACACACGCTTATATTATATATTATATTATGTACCCGCTATACACCCGAGTGCTACAAGTTCATGATATTTATACCTATATAATGTATGGGTGCGTATACCTATATATTATAATATACTATATAGTCGTATAGACGTATCCGTTCTACACACATATACGTATATTTTAAGTCGCCTGCGTCATTTTTCTATTTTTTTTTTCTGATAACGAAAACTATGTATGAGGTATACGCTTGGTTTATTGATCATAACTTTTTTTCGCTTATAATTGAGTTATGTGTTTCCTATAACACATAGAATTCTTGCCTTTTTTAAAGTTATTAGATACACCGCTTCTTCGAATATTCTATAATATAAATAAGAAAACACTCATATTTTGAAAAAATATGCCACTTATACGGAGTCTGTTTTAATCAAACGCCCGAGTTATAAATTGTAGGTATATGCATTAATCATTATACACGAGGTGGACTTTTGTGTTTTTCTCTGCAGCGCATATAGTTTATGCGATATTATATACTTAACGCTATACTAAAAAACGGGAAAACTCCACTCTCTACTGCTCAGCTGCAGTGTGACCTATGTATATTAGTCGTGTTATTATTTTTATACAATGGGTAGATGAGTTTTTTTCGCATTATATCAATTTATATAACAGCAATTATTGCTATATTTTACTGATGCGCATAATAAGTTATCATTATAGACATGATGTTTTTGTCATTTTACAGGCCATCATTTACGAAGGTCAAGACAAGAATCCAGAGATGTGCCGGGTGTTGCTCACTCACGAAGTCATGTGCAGGTAACGCATTATCATCGATAAATTCAATATTTAATACATTTACCTGTATACAATGGATATTATAATAATAGTATATACAGCTACACCATAACCGCGCCGCGCACATATTATTATTATGGTATAACAGCCGACCCCATTTTATCGGTGCCAAAGACGGCGTGGCTCGGCCTAGGTTAGCAACCATATTATAGTCATAATAATAAAAGTAATGTATTGATGATGAATCGGTTACCGGTCAAATATTATGGCCGCTGACACGCTCCTCCCCGATACAACGACATTCCTTAAGTCTCTTAGGTGTACAATGTTTGCACACACGCACACACATGCACACACACACAAACCTACTCGGGGGGGAAAGTTTGTCGAGTCATGCACGTGGTCCAATGCTATTTTGTATGTAGGTACGCGCGCACATACAACGTAAACAAAACCGTCAATAGCTGACTTCGCGAGAGGGGTTGTGCGCGTATTTATAAGACCGAAGGGGGCCAAAACCCCGGGGGACAGGTGCGGCGTAATAATAGTTCGTTCTACGAACATGTCGTGTATGTATAATATATAATATATATTTATAAATATACAATCCTCTTCGGTATTTATTTATTGTATTATAATACCTCATGTCGTTTGCAGCCGATGCTGTGATAAGAAAAGTTGTGGCAACAGAAACGAAACACCATCCGATCCGGTCATCATCGACAGGTAAGATTGATAATAATTTATTATAATACGATTTGCTCACCAACATAATATGGCTTTCTAAAGTTTATGCATGCAACCTAAAGAAGTTTAGTTTCGTGTTAACCACATAGTGCATACATTAAACATAATACAGATGTTTTCAGCGTTCCTATATTGTAATATATTACAATAGATGATATATATAGGTATATATATAGCCAACAGATAGTAGTAATAATATTATGTTTTTTTCGGCTATTTATACTTCCGACCGTCGTGATGTGTTTGGTATAAAAAAAAATAGAAAGACTAATGCTCTCCACCCTCTTTATGTATGGTCGACTTTAGCACTTAGAAAAAAAAAATCATTCGTTTCTGTTATGCTCTCTCCCCCAATACTTTTATAACGGAATGGTTTAAATACCACAAAGAGATCCGCACACTAATAAGCCGTCCCAGCGGGTGGGGTGCTTTGAACAAACTTCTGCTCTTTCGCCTTTTATCTAACGTTGTCCTCCCCCAGAACCAATTAAAACACCACAAGCGCCCGGTATTTTTGTTTTATGTAATCGGTAGAGAGAAAAAAAACAAATATTGTGCGATATTCCACTATAAAAACATAATTAGTGATTGAGACTTCAAAGAGCGTCTCCAGATTGTTCGGGTAAATTAAATTACACGGCAAAAAAATCCTGGGTAATTACTTAAATGACTGAGGCTAAAAGGTATTTTATATACGATACTATTCATTATCGGGATTAAAATGTGCCTGCAATCAAAATAATCAAACAATTAAGTATACCTTAAATTAAAAAGTCATAATGTGCAGAACGACGTGGTTGAAACTGGTAATAGCTAGATGTCACCAACTAAATGTTATTCAGTTATTGTATACTCGACATCAGTCGTACCTATATAAAATCCTGATTAATAATAACGCTTTGTATAATATTAACTATAATATATTGTCTATTATAGAAGAAGTTAACTTATATTTCGTGGTTTCTTAAATTTTGTAATGGGATTAAACAGTATCAAACGATGTAAATAAATATTTTACATTTCCTGTGTGAACGCATAATAGTAACAAATACGGTAGACAAACAAAAATTAACGAGTATATTGTGTATTTGTGCATACATCTACCTATCATCGAACAATTTTACGATTTATCGATTTCAATCGTAGATATTATGGATATAATGTGATGATATTATGTATATTAGAATTCAAACGAACATTTCTCCACTCATCAGTGCACTGTAAAGTTTGTTCTACAATCTCCAATACAAAGTTTTCGACTTTTATTTCTACCGCAACAGAAAATTCACATCGTCGTATATAAATTTTTCCAGAATACACCTACAATATAATATGTACTTTGGATTTACACATATTTGATGTTATATACATGATACATTCAAAATGCACTCCATGTAACTTCTACAAGTACGCAATATACATGATTACACCCATTCCGTTTCCGTATGTATGTATGTATGTATGTATGTATGTATGTATGTATGTATGTATGTATTATACTTACAAATGCCATACCTCGTTACCAATTCAATAACAAAATCTTAGAGTTGATTCTTGTTTTTATGGTTTGATTCTTTGATTATATTTTGTAACGTCAAGTAAATAAGCCCACGTAAAATATTAATACATTGTAGCAGTTTTATTTTAAATAATGGTCAAATAAACTCAACAAATGTTTAACTGAAAATGTAATTATCTTTTATTTTGTTATTAAAAAAATTATAAAACAATAAAATATACAACTTTTCTTGTTGGCAATAAATATTTGTATTAAATGGCATGATACTAATCAACACGAGGGACATGGGTATATTATATAAAGGCAGTGAAATACCATTTTCATTTAAGTATCATTGATACTTATGTACCTATAATATTCATTGAATACTCAAAAACAACGGTATATTATTCAGAACGTATTATTTCGTGTATGATATTTATATACATTATATATTTGGGGTAAGGAAACTTTTTTTATTTTATGAGCAACTATTATACGTGCAGGAGGTTGTGGCATAAAAGTTTAAACACTTTTGGTATTTACTTGAATTAAGATCACTTTCCTAATGACGTAATACTTATAATGCTCTATAATAAGTAGACGACGAATGACGGTAGGTGTATAGAGCGCTTTAGTCAATTTATAAGTTTACTGTACTTTATCAATGACGTCGTTATAATACTATAAACTCGGTTGGCACGTGACGGTGGTGGCAGAGGGAAGAATAAGGAAGTATACACTACTAGTGTTAGCGTAAAATATGGTAATAGTAAATCTAGTACTCATAATATAGGAATATTATATCATCTGATTATACAGAATGCGGGAGATTAAAAAAAAAAAAAATGAAAGAAATCATATCTTATGGGTTAAGTCAGCACGTCATGCGACGGCTGTTCACGTAATGGAATGGGCCCTAGGAGCTTTGCAGTCGTTGAAGGGCGGATGTGCATATTAGATATATGTGTACGGTGAAAATTTCCACCATTCGTATTAACATGGGGTCGACCCTATTTGAGCTTTTCACCGACAAACTGCTCTGCCATCCGTCCAAATAATCGAACCGAACTCTCGCCATATTCAATTGCAGTATACATTATAGGTAAACAGCCTGCAGAACACGCGTATATTACATGTTATTATCGTAACAGTTGGCGGAAAAGGAAAGTTGAACCTACTATTGAAATTGAGTCAAGTGTTACACACAAGTAGTATAATACTCGTATATTTTCGAGATACCTATGAAAATACGACGTTTGTATAATCATTGCGTCTGGAAAAATTACGCATCCTCCGTTTGCCATACATAGATTTCCTCTCGATTCAAATTGATATAATACTAATCGTAAACCACAAAAATATATTAATATATACTATTGTAGTACAAATGCCGAATTCACGCAATATCAAGTAATATTTTCTAGTCGTTACATATCATTTACCGAATTTCTTAACGCGCCTTTTCATAAACCGTGGGATTTGTTTAGAGTTATGGAGCTGTAAGTATACCAAAAATATATCTATTCTTAAGCGCACTCGAAAAGTCGACGCTTGAACAATAATAGTATCATACCGATATGGCAATATACGATAACTAATATAACTATAACGACTATAATAAAGCTTACGCAAGTGATAAATTATCATAATACATATTAACGATTGGCCAGAATACATTTCATTACCACTTATATAACATTATATATCTGCAATACAACACTGTCAACACTTGAGTATTATATATACTGATAATCGTACAACAAAACACGTGTAACACGTTGAATTAGGTTTATTAATATGTATGGTATTTAGAAACGGGCGGTTCTTGAAATCTATTCGAACCCTCAAAAACCTCGAACTTAAAGAAATTCAAACGATTCAAAATTGGAAAAAATGTATGTTCTATTCGTACTGTTCAAATGATATGATATACGTTCGAGAGGGCGGGAGATTTTTTCTCATACTATCTTTAAACACGCTGTTCTATACTACTGGGTAATATATTTTAAAATTTGCTATATAATAAAAAGTCCGACAAAGTTTGAAAGTTAACAATAATAAGATTCAAGTTCGAGAAAATGTACGTTCGACCCAGCTCTAATGACAACGTCATTGCACGCGCAAAATTTTTCGTCCGCTTTCACAAAAGCGCAATGATATGTATACCATCACAGATAATTGAATAAAAAGAAGTTTTGATTGAACACAGTTCGATTTGTTGGTTGTCTTTTTTTCCCCCCGATGTAAAACCAAGTACTAAACGAATGAGAAAACCGACTGCACACGTCTCGTATTATATTTGTGTGTGATTTATAGCACGGCGATGTAAAACGGCAGACAGATTCCGGCGCGAAACGCTTAATAACAATACTTGCGGTGGCAGATACGCGTATTCAGCGTAGGGCATTATTATTATTATCATCATCATCATCATCATCATGGGCTGTATTTTTTGCTTTGGGTTTTTTATTTTCGTCATTCTTTTTCTCGTTTCTCTACTAACGGCGCGCAACGGAAGATTCGAATCGTATGATACTATATAATATATACAGTATAACGTATACCATAATAATACTACATCGTTCCGACCGGCCACCCCCACCGGGCGCACACCCTCCCCCCAATGAACTGCACTGGAGCGCTGCAGCGGTAGTGACGAAGACGGCGGCGGCGGTGGTGGCGGTTCGTCGGTATTATAACCGTCGAATGTATATTAAAGAAAAACCGTCTGCTCCTAAAGATTTTTATGTTCACGTCCTATAAAGCGAGGCGCGGGGCAGGCGGAAAAAATATGGCCTGAAAGAGATAAAAATAGCACGCACCCTCCCCGCCCCGATCGACAAAGAAAACAAACCCCATGTGTCTTATTACGCATCTCCCCTGTGCGAGTACACCATCTCCCACGGGATGCCATTTTGTCGTCGTCGTCGTCGGCGTCGTCGAACCTTCATCTTTTCTTTTCTCTCTTACACCATTCATTTCTCCTATTCTGTCGGAGATTTTTTTGCCCTGTTCACCACCACGTTTATACACCTATCTATAAATAATATTCTATTCTGTTTAATGCTCTGTTGAAAATTCTTGTTGTGTGTGATGCACAAAATACTATGCCACGACTAATGACCATATTAATATAAATAATATATAAATTATATTATAGATTATTAAATAGTGTATCGTATGCGATAATTGTATGCGCCGTGCGCATCTTATATACTATGAACAATTTAATCGAGTGTTTTTCGTTTGTCTTATCTCTTTCAAATATACGTGAGTATTTAATAAAATCTACCTAACTACCTAGGTACCTATAAAAGTCGTCCGAGATTTTCGAAATACGCCGTTAAAATTATCAACCTAATGATTACCGCCGGCACTTACAGTGTGTCCCTCGGGCCGTATACGTCTGCAGTTATGTATATATATATAAAAGTACGCGTATAATATATATATAATATAATGAAATGGTAAGCACATT